GTTTGGGAGGGATGGTTATATTGTGTATCTGGAATGAATTTTAGGTCTCTACGTCCATCCCATGGGGAATGGGAGCAGTAACAAAGGTGTTGCGTTTATATTTTTGTTGAGTGTATTATAAGGCAAAGACTTCACAATAATACTGAGGCTTTTTTTTTTTTTTTTAAGTGTCACTACAATTGAGTGAAAGGAGTGTGCTTGTAGTAGAAAATAGATAAGCCCAAAGGGAAGGAGGAGGGACTGTTAGCTGACAGCTGGCTGGGTATTTATTGCTGTGCTGTTTCTTCTTATTTCAAAAAAGGCTGAATCTTATGTAAAATTCCAGTGTAGGTGTACTGTTTGGTACCAATGCAAAAGATAAAAAAATCCTTTTTTAAAGTTGTAAAAATGCACGTTTCTTTTGTTTTGTTTTGTTTTTACCTGTGTTTGCATGATCACATGGGGTAACTTGCTGACCAGTAAAAGAATGTTTACTAATTTATTCAGTATGCACTCCCTTCTTTTAGAATCATCTTACTTTATATTGCTTTGTGTCCTTGTGTCTATATCTCAGGTATCCCAGTTGAGTCCAGAGTGAACATCTTCATTAACAGCTTTGGGTCTATCCAGGAGACGACTATGGTAATACAGCTACAAACAATGCATATTAGATTAATGGAATTTGGCTCAAACTACTAAATGTTGGAGAGATGCAGATAAGATAAAGATGCAGATTGTATATTTTTACAAATATGCATTGCATTAATGATAGTCATTCACTGTATTCTGTTAAATGAATGAATCACCATAACTACATTAGTATTATTAATACTGAAGAATTGAGCAGACACTTGCTACATGTTACTGTTTTAGACTGACTCAGGATACAGCTGTTTATTGGCGACATATGGAAAAAAATAGGATTGCACAAGTATGGCCAGACTTAAGAAAAATAGCAGAATAAAAAAAAGAAAAGTTTCACAATATGTTTCATTTTAAATATTAGCCCTAACAAGTAGGAGTTGATGTAGTGCAAATTATTAATACAATATTTGTCTTTGCAGGACTACAGAGTAAATATATTTCTTCGACAAAGATGGAATGACCCTCGTCTACAGCTTCCTACAGATTATAAGAGTGAAGCACTAACTGTTGATCCCAAAATGTTCCAGTGTTTATGGAAACCAGATCTTTTCTTTGCAAATGAAAAAAATGCAAACTTTCATGATGTCACACAAGACAATATACTGCTCTTCATCTTCAGGAATGGAGACGTCCTGATCAGCATGAGGTGTGCTTTTAAATCTGTTTTAATCAATCTATGGGACCCATAATCCATTTTTTGCCTCATTCTTTTTAAACAATGAATACCTTTTAATATTCTGAAGAAAATAACTTCTGAATGGATTGCCATTAATTGGACAATCACTGTGATTATCCTGTCATGACTTATGTTTAAGAAATCACATTTTGGTCTCTTAAAAAAAGTGAGTGATTCTCATGAGCCTCAGCCATACATATTTAGCCCTACAAAAAGTTAACATGTTAGTATGGTGCATGAAAAGGTGGCTTGTAGTGTGTAAATCAAGAAGGTGCAAACACTTAAGGGGAGCAAGAAAGCTTTGTTTCTCTTGAAAGCTCTCATGAGTACCCGTTCGTTGTACACCCAAAGTGACCTGGAACAGTGTAATAGAAATCATTAATACATGCAGAACTAATCAGTTGTCTGGAAAATAAAGTTACAATTTCCAGAAAAGCCCACTGACCTCAGTTTGTAGCAGAGTCTGCAGACTTTAGAGACAGTTTAAAGTTTTTGTCTTTCTCTGAGGGTCATGGGGAAATTATTGATTCATAGAAGTGACTTTAATCTTGTCTTTTTTTCAGTGACTCTAAGCTGTTTTTAGAAAAAATTGGTTAACTTTTAGGTATTATATGGTGATATATCAACAAAGAAAAGGCTTATGTGCTCCCTGATCACATAAGCCTTTTCTTTGTTGAGCTTATATAAAATGTTAGGCAGACCTAGTTTTGAATTCTGTTTTTACATTGGTTCTTAACTTGCTCTTGCTTTCATAAAGAATAAGATGTAAAAAAAATTTATGTAAAAAATCAGAACCATTTCTATTTTGAGGGATTAGAACATTAGCATTAAATAATTCACATGCATCACTATTAAGAACAGTGGTGGCAATATATGGTCTGGCATAGCCTATAAAATTGTCAAATGGTAGGTGACAAGTATTAGTAACTGATGGCTAGAGGCTTAAAATCAGAGGCATCTATCAATGTGACAGGTTTTTTGAATTTAAATTAGATCATGCAAAATATGAATATTTTATTTTTCTCACATTTGGGAAAAAGAGTGATTAGGCTTCATTGAATAGTATAGCACTACACACATGTTGTCAGTGTGCTGACAACATGTGTGTAACTGCAGGGTTATAGTATGTTTCTAATATAGGAGCACATGCTGTGGAGTATTGTCTCTGTAAATATAAATCACAGATGACAGGTCAGGGGGGAGATACAGTGGGGCAAAAAAGTATTTAGTCAGCCACCGATTGTGCAAGTTCCCCCACTTAAAATGATGACAGAGGTCAGTAATTTGCACCAGA